AACATAGGCAAACAGTAGAAAAAACAACATAATTAATTAACAAAATTTTAAACCTCATAAAAAATTGCTGTCCAATTCGTGCAACACAGCTGGAACACCATACCCTCTTACCCTTGTAAGCTGATCAAATCCCTCCAATATGAGAACATCATTCTCCTATTTTTCTTTAACTTTATCTCTTTATACTGAACAAATCTAATTGCCACACAAACAAGAACAGATTTTTCAGCAGTAATTTCGAAGCAAAAAGAGGTAAAAATCAAGCATTTTTAACTACTTAGAATCAAGAAAACTTTAGTTAGGCCTATATTTTATGTTCAAAATTACATATATTTTGCAACCAATCAATATAATCCATTCAGAGTCGATAGATTTGTATGTACACAATGTAGAAGATCCCTTTTTATAGACGAATTTGAGATGATTATATATGAAGAATCCCATACCTTATCGGCGACTGATAGATCCATTTCATTATTGCTTTTCTTCTTGAATTTGTTAATCTTCTTCTTTGGCTTCTTCAACTTGCTCAAGTAAATCTTCTTTTTCTTCTCATTCCTCTTTCCTTTGAGACCCCATTTAATTTCCTTGGAATCGCAAAAGTCATCATCATCCTCCTCCTCGGTACTAACTCTATCCACAGGTGGCGCCACCGTGAAAAGCTCCTTTATTGACCTTTTCTTTGGAACCCTTGGTTTCATTTTCCCCCTTAAAGCCTTCAACTTTGCTGCTTCTCCTATGAATTCTTCAGCATCCAAATCTGATTCTTCTATATACTCTTGATATCTCCGTGGTGATTCTCCCTTTTCTTGAAAATTTTTCTGCTTCTTTTTCGAGTATTCGACCTTTTTAATCGATTCTGAACGGGATAATTTGAGTACATCGAACCACCAGGTGAATTTCTTGACAATGATCGGAGGGAGCAATGATTTTACAACATCTTCATCACTCTCATCGAAAGGCCAGCAATTTACCGCGTTGACACTTCTCATCCTCGAGGTATATTCTCTACAGAAACACAAAACCATAACTTTTTAACAAACCCAACAAAAATCAAGACCTAATAAATATTAAACACGTTAATTAACAAAACTTAACAACTAACCGAATCGAAAAGCCCTCAAATTCCAT